TAGACAACTTATTGCCAAGCAATATCTTGCAGAGGTCAAAACCTGACCATTCTAAAGCATCGCCTCAAAAATTCTGTTGTTGGGCCAGCAAAGTGATTGATCCCTGTTCGACTTTGAAATCCTCCTGAATCTCGTTTAGGTGTCGTCAAGGTTTCCTCGACATTTCACCAAGCATCGCTTCAAAGCCAGGAAGACTCTGCAAGCCCTGTACGCCTCGTTTTTGTCCTTCTTAGAATCCTTAGCTGTTCAAGTATATCCTGTTTTCAGTGCAAAACGAGTGTGCCCTGAAGACCGACGACTGCGCTCGGGACGGAGGAATCTGCGAAGACACGCCGGACTCATACATGTGTCGTTGCGCCATCAACTACCTCGACGTTTCTTTCGATAGAGTGAACAGGCCGGGCAGAAAGTGCAAACGATGTGCGTTTCCCTCTTCTGGCACCCTTTTGGGACAAACTAACCCTTGGCATTTCAGTGGTAGACGAATGCGCAACTGGACAGAATGATTGCTCGCGAGAGGCGATCTGTACTGACACAGAGGACAGCTACATGTGCTCTTGCCCACCCACTCATCTCGACCTCTCCGCGGATCCGATCAACCGTCCCGGGAGGAAGTGTTTGCTTCGTGAGTGGAACGGTTGGAAAGTTCGATTATTATTTCTATATGAATCTTTCAAGGAATCAACGAGTGTACTTCGGGACGTCATGACTGCTCCCCCAACGCCGACTGTATGGACACTCCAGAATCCTACAAATGTCGATGTCGAGACGACTTTGTCGATGAATCGCCTGACATCATGCACCGTCCTGGACGGATCTGTCGACCGGCTCTTGTCGATGAATGCCGTCTGGGCAAGCATGATTGTCATGCTGACGCCTTTTGCCAGGTCAGCCAAGGGTAGTCGCACTAGCCGTTCTATCTGCCTTTCTAACATAGTCGTTCTAGGACTTGCCGCAGGGTTATACGTGCAGATGCAAACCCGAGTTCCTGGACCAGTCACCAAATCGGGCCACTCATCCGGGCCGAATGTGCGTGCCACGTCCTACTCCACCTCCTCCAGAATGTCGCATTGATGGTCCAAATCAGTGCAAGGCGCATTTGAACGAGGTGTGCCGACTAGTAATGGGCGAGCCGAAATGCGCCTGCCCTATCAATTATCAGAGAGATTCAGCTGGCTCTTGTTCAGGTAAGTCATACCCTTGTCCACTTCCTATCTGACACTAAATGTGCATTTCAGTGATTAACGAGTGCGACTTCCCACAACTAGTTGATTGCCATCCTTCCGCTGACTGCATCGACCAGCTGGTTGGATACACCTGCGCTTGCCGGCCAGGCTTCAAGGATATTGGGGAGAAGCCCGGTCGTATATGCAAACCCTGTGAGTTCTACTTTTGGCCGGCAAAAAGGTCTTGAATGAGTCGGTTTACTTTAGTGGTGAATGAGTGTCAATTCCCTCATCTGAACGACTGCCACCAGCATGCCCAATGCATCGACCAAGAGGAGGGATATGAATGCAGGTGAGTTCTTGCATACAAATACTAATATCACAACTACTTCGATATCAAAGCCGAATTCCCCAAAGGTTATTTCCTTACCAGGCAGAAACGAAAAGACCGTTCTAGCAATAACTCTAGGTGTCGACTTAGGATATGAAAAACGTATGAGATAGGTCCTGTAGATAGTTGTTTCCGGAGCAGACGCGGGGGCGTATGAGGGTGGCGGGATTTCCAGCGGCGCCAGCCCATTTTCCACCGTTGCTGTTTCGCTAGCGCGCATGTACTATTGGTGCAGAACGGGTTGGCGTCACCAAACCCATCCCCTGACACCCCGAGCGTTTGAAGAGCAAATAATTTTACTCTTTCGCAAGGATGTGACTCACAAGCGATCTCTCAGATCCGAGGATTTCGATCCGACTTTCTATCACATTATGACCATTGTTTCTTTGGGACACGTCCCATGATAATGAAATGGGAGACGGGCAAGAGAATCGTAACTTGCCACTATGTCGCGCGCGACGCACCCTTTCGCTGTGAACACGAGAAATTCCCAATGTGGGACGTCACGCGGAGACAGGCGCGAAGTTGTCTCCTAGTAAATCCCATTTATTGGTCTCTAAATTCTCTCATCAAATTCTAGATGTAATCACGGATTCATGGATCGCTCACATGGGCGACCTGGAAGAATTTGCAAGCAACTCATTGACGAGTGTGCCGTACCGGGAATGAACAGCTGTGACAGAAACGCCAGGTGAGAAATCCTCAATCCTCATCCAA